TGGCCAGCTATATAATCTGATTATCAGAAGCAACAAGATGATTTTATAATAGACTCTATCACCATAAGCAGAAGCAAGATTGAGTCTAGAATTCAAAGTCCAGTATCAATAGATGTTCAGGAATTTGAGCAACAAAGCAGGAACAAGGTGAAGAAATTTGGGCAGTCTCGGCAAGCATAGCTACATAGGAGAGCAAGCTGTCACTGACATTGTGTTTGAATTCTCTCAAGCAGAGGTTTATAAAATGGAAGCTCCTGGCCTCTGCCTAGATAGTATCATAGCTCATCAGAGCTGGATCAGAAAGAGAGCTCCTTGACCTCTTGAAGAAGAGAGGCTATTTGGGAGATGGGACAAGGCAGGAGTTCTTACTAATGTAAAACAAAATTCTTAAGGAGATACTGTAGGGCTATCTTCAAGTGTTTCCTCTAGAGCAGCAACTGAACTAACCCAACCATAACCAATCAACAATTAATAAGTTCATCTTGTGAAAACCTCCAGAAATTTCACAGTATCAGGTGTCAGAAGCATCTCTTCAATCTCAGATTTGAGCTGGCCTCATGTAGAGGGGCCCATAGTCTTCATGCTCTAGTGACTAGACCTATTTGTTTCTACATTGCATGTAATGCAGAAGTGTTCAAAACCTACCTCTTTTTATTTCTGGAGTACTAAGAGCCTAAGAAGAGACTTTAATTAGACAAGGATCCTATCTTTTGTAATATTTTGTTCCCATTTTGTGGCCAGCCATAAGCAAAAAAATGCATATATTGTGGCTAAACAATATGCTTCTTCATATATTCTCAGCAGAAAGTGTTGAGAGGCCACAAATGCTTCGGTCTCTTCTGAGAAGTGTTCTTGTGATTTTCTACAAAAGATGTTTTCATTAAACATTTTAACTTCTGTGAAAAGACAATAATCATACTTTTTGACTCTTATCTAGGCTGTTAAAAATCCAGCTATTGTGACCTGCACATAGTGAAAATATTTCATGCTGTTTTTCTCCTGCACAGAAAATTGCCTGCATCACCATGAAATTGGCTTTGGTCTCTTTTGAGTGCTGCACAGTGTTTATAGTGATTACTGTTTAATATCATTTATCAACCTTTTGGCTCTTCTTTCACTTTTGACCAGGTTGAGCTGGTCCGGAGAGACTATGTGGCCAATGGTAGTTGGGAGACTTTTCTTGCTTATGAAGATCCTCAACAGGACATTCTGATTGGACTTTTACGTTTGCGGAAGTGTTCGGAGGACACATTCAGACCTGAGCTGAAGGGTGGTGTTTCCATTGTCCGGGAACTCCATGTCTATGGGAGTGTGGTTCCTGTCAGCAGCCGAGATCCCTCTAAATTCCAGCATCAGGTAACTGCAGCTTATTAAAGTAAACAGTAGCAGCAACATATAGAATTAATCCATCTGCCTTTGATGCGTATTGATTTTTGAGCTTTTGAATAGGGTATCATTTTATGATAAATGTAAAAGTAAGTAAAGTCTCCTTTGAGTCAAGCTGAACTCCAGATGATCTTGACTTGATTAGGTAATTCTCTTGGCAATAAGATGGATGTAATTGGTCACTACATTCATTCTAGGGATACTTTTTCAAATTCCTAATCTAACTATGATATTTCCTGGTGGTTTCATATCAAAATAGAAACTAAGACTACTTTTGTTTAGGTTTTTGAAATCAGCCAAGATTGACTACATGCTAGTACCTAATTAGGACTTTTTAACAGTAGCATTATTTGCATTCCAATCAATGACATACATGTTATTTCAATAATGTTTGTATTCCTACAGCCTGTATCCTTTCAGTGCTACTTTCTTTGTCTACTCGGATGCTAGTCTCCACTGCTACAGTTTCGTTTGAAAGACTGCATATACTTCCTTGTACAATGCATACAGGTGGAATGCTAGCAGTTAGTTGCCAGGTGTAGACAAATGGTGGCTCCTGGAGGGAATTTTTTTTTAAAAAGTATGAAGAAAACATTTTCCTCTTTTTTATTTTGTCAAGTGTTATGGTGGAAAAATCAGAAATTAGATATAAAAATATTTCATAATTCTTTAAAATATATATGAATTAAGATTTTTTTCCCCTCGGGTTGAGAAAAATGCCTTTTATATCAGGTTTTAAACAGGCTGCTATGTAATGTAAATGTTTCTCAGTAACAGTTTCCTCATTGTTTGAACAATGATTCCTGTATATTCTATTCAGTGTTTCCAATGCTACCAATTTTAACTTGATATCCATATTTGGGCCTTAATAGAGTCAGCCTATAGGGGAGATGGATGGCATAAATACATAAATACATACATACATAGCAAAATGCATGTTGTACAACTTCAGAATTAAGATATATGGGCATCTGTAGCAGTAATATTTTCTCTCTCTAATATTGGTATATTAGCAGTTTTGTTTCTACAGGAGTCAGAAAAATGTTCTTTACAGGCATATTTTGCAGTAAATCCCAGTGAACTTTATTTATTAATTTTTTATGCCTCATGTGACTAAAAAAAATTTAATAACTCTGAATTATCTTTGACATCAGTGGTCAACCACCTCCTTGTTGGAGACTTTATGTAAAATTGCTATTAATTACTAATACCAATAGAATTAATTGTTGGAGCATCTGATTGACATGTGTCATTGTTTCTGATGGATTTATTCCATTGTTTTCTAATTTGATATTTTCCATGTGTCTTCAACTACAACTGCCATAATTTTCTTCCATATGTGAGACAAGACTAGATTATACATATATTTGTTTGTGGCTATGCATGTGCGTGCATCTTTGAGTCAGTATTTCCTCCTAATGATTCCCTTCACAAGCCCCTGCAGTTTTCTTGGCAATATTTTGGAAGTGGTTTGCCATTCCTTTCGTCCTAGGGCTGAGAGAGAGTGACTAGTTCATCTACTGGCCTTGTGCCTAAGACAGGACTAGAACTCACAGTATCCCATTTTCCAGGATGGTGCCTGAACCATTAAGCCAAACTGGCTCTCTTTTTCTATAATTTGGCTTCGCTAAGATGAGTCCTTACCTTATCTATTTCTGGATTGATATCAGGTGCAACCAAATAATGACATAGAACAATCCAGCTAAAGCTCAGTTCTTTATTTACTTATACCATATAGACAGAATCTTACCATACTTAACCTATGCTACGCTAATCCTAATGCATATATCCTGGGAGATGGTGGCTATCCTTATTCTCTTTCTCTGATCCAGCTCTGAGTTGTGTTGTCTCTTGTCTCATCCCCTCTGCTTGGAATGTACTCCCTTCTTAATCAGAAACCTTAACGCTTTCATTGTAGTCCATCACACTCCCCCCTTCCCTTCAGTAGACACATTCCATTACATCTATAGATAGACTTTGTAGAGTTGATCTTCTCTATTTACATTTTTGTTATTACACTAAAACTAGTATATTGGCAGAGGTATTTCCAGCTTGACTTTCTCCGCGACGCTCTGGTTTTCTGGGTAGTGGAAACTTCTTTTTGCTTATTGGTTCATTCAACCCTAGGGGAGCCTTCACTTACACTATGTTGGTAAGACCCAGATTGCCTATGTCAGTGGTTCTCAACCTGTGGGTCGGGACCCCATTTTGGGTTGATCGACCATTTCACGGGGGTCGCCAAGCAAGGCTGTCCGCCATTTTTTTTGTCCGCCATTTTTCCCCCTTTTCCGGCGGGTGCCTTACCTCCCTTGGGCTGGGCCAGCTGGTGGTCGGCCTGCTCCGTCTCTGCCGCTTGCCAGCTATGCCTCGGCTGGCACAGGGGGCGGAACCACGCATGCGTGGCGCTCCCGGTCCTCGACTTACGACCGGTTGGGTAGTCCTCGACTTACGACCGGTTTAGTCCTCGACTTACGACCAGTTTAGTCCTCAGCTTACGACTGGTTTAGTCCTCGACTTATGACCGGTTGAGGTCGCGGCATTAAAAAGGTTGAGAACCACTGGCCTATGTCAAGCCCAGATATAATAACATCCATGGAATACGTTCTCACCTTATCAGCCATGGTGGTGAAGTGGTTAGAATGCAGTATTGCAGGCTAATTCTGCTGACTGCCAGCAGTTCGATTCTCACCGGTTCAAGGTTGACTCAGCTTTCCATTCTTCCAAGGTTGGTAAAATGAGGACCCAGATTGTTGGGGGCAATAAACTGACCCTGTAAACTGTTTAGAGAAGGCTGTAAAGTACTGTGAAGCGGTATATAAGTCTAAGTGCTATTGCTATTGCCTTTCTATATTAAATGTGTGTTTTCACAATGTGTTTATAGTGCATTTCCTTTCCTTTACCTCAATTTTCTGCTGTGCGGGCTGTGCAGCTGCTTCCCATCATTGCCTTTTTTCTCTCAATAAATGGAACACAGTTAAGTAAATATTAAATTAAGTGTCTCTTGGATGTGATCATTAGTTCACCACCTTTGAGCTTTTAGCCAGAATAGAGAAATTATCAGCATGCACTTTATATACCTAATGTTTTAGGTTCAAATCATTGTGATTTAAAAAGAGGTGTTTTGAAGCAGATTTTTTTTTTTGGTCGTATGTGCATTAGAATGTGACTTCTGTTTGATGGTAATAACCCTGGGCAATGAGGCAGTAGCAATAGAGAGTAGGGGGAAGGAGCAGAAAATGGATTCTTACTTCCCGAAAGTGAAATTTCAAAAGCCAGGAGTGGAAAAAGGCGTTGACGCACATGGAAGACAAGAGGGAGAAAAATCAATTGAATAAAGCTAGCACTAATGAAGTGAAATAGACTGGAAACGAAGTCCTAGGTGCATGACGCACAAAGATGGACTGGAGGAATGTAGCTGCGATACCCCAGAAATTACACTATTTTGCTTCCTCTTCTCCTCCCACCCTTGACATTCATAGGGCACATAGAATACTTCATAGCACATAGGTCATGTAAAGCTGTATTAATTTATGGATAGATCTTCTTGGAAAAAATGGACTGGATTCTTTCCTCTAACTCTTTTTCTCTATATTGGTCTATTCCTGCTGGTACAACTAAGCAACAGAAAAACATGTTGGGCAGAATTGGTTCAACCTCGCTATTCTTCCTAGGCTGCCATGACCAGCTGTTTTGACTACTGCTCTGCTGCCAAGTCACCACCCATTTATAAAGTTGACATAACTCTCTGCTATCTCATTTTACATTAATCAAAATCTTAATGTGAAATCAACAAATATACCCAAATGATCGGACTCTGCTCTCTTCGTACCCCTAAACTGTCTGTCTGTCAGCTCTGTTTTTCAGCCAGCTGTGCTGTCATGTGCTCCACAGTTGTTGAGAAAGTCAATTCCTACACGATTAGGCATTTTAGGATATATGTCAGGCCATTGTTAGAGCTGGTTTAGTTTAAATAAAATAAGTAATCTCTTTGTGAGCCAAACAGGGTCCAATCTGTTGCACAAGGCTTTAGACCAAAAGGGGGGGAAATGGAGGATGGAATACTGTATATGAGTAGTCCTTGACTTACCACCACAATTGGGACCAGAATTTCTATTGCTAAGCAAGGTGGCTGTTAAGTGAGTTATGCCCAGTTTTACAACCTCTTGACTATTGTTGTTAAGCGAATCACATGGCTGTTAAGTGAAACTTGCAAATGGTGACTATATGACCCTGGGATACTGCAACCATCATAAATACATGCCAGTTGTCAAGTGTCTAAATTTTGATCATGTGAACATGATGCTACGATGGTCGTAAGTATGAGGACCTGTTGCAAGTCATTTTTTTCAGTGCTGTTTTAATTTGAATGAGCATTAAACAGATGGTTGTAAGTTGAGGACTACCTGTACATCTTCTTGAGAGTTCTAGAAAGAAAGATGGGCACAAATATAACTAATTTTACCTGTCCCTTGTTCTTTTTATCTTAAAGCATGTGAAATTATGCAGCTTTACTCAGAAATTGAGCTTTTCGTGACCATAGATGTTCCCCTGTCATGATTTCTCATTTAATTGACATGGTTGTCATGGTGAAAAGGCTTGAGGGAGCTTTGTAAAAATTGTTTTATTTTTGGAGCCACATTATATGTTCATAAACATAACATGATGATTGTAACTGTATTGCCTTTTAAAAGGCTTCCTTATCTGATAAGTCAGTTGCAGAAAATAATTGATCCTATTTATAACAACATACATTTAAGAGCTGTTCTACACTGCTTTTTAGATGCAATTCCTTTTATTTTTAAGTTGGACTGCCCATCTTAAACTTGAAGATAAAATCACAAACATCATTTCCTTAGACCATTTCAGATCCTTCCTGAGCTGAAGCTATTTGGGGTTGGCTAGATAGACAGGACTAACACAACAGCACTGTAGGAAAATGAAATGGTGATTCTGTTAATATTGGTTATTGA